GGAGTGTTCAGGAACTGGAATGACAGGGCCACAAAGTGGAATGAGGACCCTGGGGTGTGCCAGGAGTGTTCAGGAACTGGAATGACAGGGCCACGGAGTGGATTGACAGCCCCAGGGTGTGCCAGGAGTGTTCAGGAACTGGAATGACAGGGCCAGGAGTGTTCAGGAACTGGAATGACAGCCCCAGGGTTCAGAATATTTTTTCCCTGTTTTCCTCCTCTAAAAACTAGGTGTGTCTTATGGTCAGGTGCATCTTATGGTCCGAAAAATACGGTATTTTTATTTATTTATTTATTTGATTTTTATCCCGCCCTCCCGCCGAAGCGGCTCAGGGCGGCATACAACATCATACAATAAAAAAAACTCTTCTAAAAACAATCAATACAATTAAAACATCCTTTACACTCCATAAAACTTATTCAGAATGGCGACTATAAAAGGCTGCATGCTCAGTCCAAGTTGTCGAACGCTTGGCGGAATAATTCTGTCTTAACAGCTCTCCGGAACTGACAGAGATCCCGGAGGGCGCGGATCTCGTGGGGGAGCTGGTTCCACAGTACAGGCGCTACCACGGAGAATGCCCTGGTTCTGGTGGATGTTAATTTGGCATCCCTGGGGCCGGGGAGGACTAAGCGATCTTGTGACTCGGATCTCAGTGCTCTCGGGGGAACATACGGAGAAAGGCGGTCCCGCAGGTAGGCAGGCCCCAGACCATAAAGGGCTTTAAAGGTCATAACCAGCACCTTGAAGTGTATCCGGAACGCTATTGGCAGCCAGTGCAGCGCCCTCAGCACCGGCTGGATGTGGTCCCTCACAGAGGCACCCACCAACAGCCGGGCTGCGGCATTCTGCACCAGCTGAATTAATTCCCCACCACCACCCCCAGTGATCCCAACTTAACAGATCACAGACAGAGGAAGATTTGGATTTCAGGAATGACCGCAAAATAACATCAGAAATAATTTATGCGAGGCATTCAAAGGCATTATATAAATTCTGTTTTTATTATATATCACTAGTATAAGTAGTAGTGGTAGTGGTAGTATTCATGGGATACTAGATTTCACAGTGACGCAGATCCCATCCGGATCTGAGGAGCTGTTCTAGCCATTTCAATGGGAACGGAAGCAAACTCGCTCCTTTTACAAATCTGGATGTTAACAGTCTATTTATGCGTTCATCTCAGACAGAAAGTATAAATCATAAAGGCTGACAGACAGAACACGTTCATTCACAGGACATGATATTAAATAAGAAAATATTATCTGTAGTTTTAAAAAACTCATCAAACTTCTGAAGTTTTAACTACTGGTACCATTCACAGATTGTTTCCTTAAAAACTGAAACATATATTTGTGTCTATCCTTGTGTGCATGCTGGGGAGGGGGGAGGAGAGATTTGTAGTTCTGGCCTCAGTCAAAAGATGCATCTGTGAAGCAGTAATTCACATACACTACTCAGAATGCCTTGGAGGCAGGATAGGATATAAATGTGAGAAATGTTTGGTCTAAATTATCTTGTAATTATATGTAATGTGTTTTATTGTAGCTGTTTGTACGTTTGGCTTAAGACCTCTGGTCAATGAAGCTAATAAATGAAAGGAAAGGAAATGTGAGAAATGAACAAATTAGGTAGGCTGTGTGTGTGTGCACATGCACACACCCATGGTTCCATTTGTGGGGGCTCTCACCACAGTTGGCATGCACATACTTGCACAGAGGGTGGTGTGTAGATGATCTTGGTGCATCATCACTTTCACTTACTGTTGTTTGAGCACCTATGTTCCGCAGAGATGTTATCTTATTTACTTCACTCATAGTACACCTTTCTCACTGAAGCTAGATTACAAAATACAAAAATCAATTCAAGCAAGCCAGCAAAGACTTTTAATCTATATTGGCCAAGAAGAGGGAGATCCATCTCTATTAAAAATCTATTTATATTTATCTGTATAGAAAGCATTTATAAGAGACAGATGAGAAAGTTTTATAAAATCATGCACAGGGTGGAAAAAGTAGACCCGTTTTCACCCTGTCATGTTCTTGGGGATCACCCAGAAGAATGGACTTGGCAGTGGATTACAGGCAGGATTTCAAGCCAGATGGTTTGAAAAAGGGAGCAGATAAC